CAATGAATGGAACTAATGAGAGTATTTTATAAATCAGCCCCTGTTGTGAACCATTACTGTCTTTCACCTGATTATATTAACTCTTTCCTTTCTCTTCAGAGTAACAGAAACACAACAAACAGAATGAACTTGTGGAGACAGAAGTGGCTCACCTACCTGTTCTACTGGCTTGGTCATGTGAGAGGGCCCAGTGCAATGAGATCCAAATAGCAATGACTGAAGCACCAGATCCTAATTTCTGCAAAAAAGGGAACCGCAGATGTAGTCAGCAAGTGCAGCTTGTCCCTCTCTTTACCTTTCCATTTGTCTAACTTGGCTTTCAAATAAATAATTTTGCTACATGGGGAGACATAGTGATATTTCTTCTTTCAGCACTGGTCTCCCATTTACTTTTAATTTCAGACAGAATGAGAAAAATAGCTTCAACAATTAAACGTATTAAATACTCATTTTCCTCTGATGTAATCTGTTTACCTAACATGGTTGCTTCAATAACAATGAAAACAAAAACTTAGTCTCACTGTAGTCTCATAGAATGGTCAAAATACTAAGTTGGATTTTAAAAATATCTTCTCTGGTCTATATAAATTGTGCATACCACTGATCGTAGAACAGCAATGAGCAAAATATTGACAAATCAGTCCTTGTGAACTTTATGAAGATGTGGTCTAAAAAAAACTTCATGCGACAGATTTATTTTGCAGAGAGTGGTAGTGGAATTTTTCTCTAGATGAAAATTAAAATATTTTTGCTCTTATGATCGATCATGTTGCATACAATATCAAAATATGAAAAACTAAATACAATCAGTGCTGTAATAATTTTTAAAACTTACTATATAAAATTACAATTTTCCTTTCAGATTGCTTCATTTGATCTAAAATAGAGTATGGGAATGATGTGTGCCAAGTGTCCCAAAAATATAACCCATGCATGGTAATTCATGGTATGCATTTTCCACAAACTCATGAATTTTGAAGATTCCTTCTTTATACGATTTCGAAAGTTTTAAAACTTTTTAAACTTATTTTTAAATTCCTTTTTTTCAAGATCTTTTGAAGTAACTTCATACCAGTTGCTCTGAAATAGTAATAGCAATTGTACAATTTATTGAGAATATTCGATGTTGTATGCATAATTCTAAGCACCTGTATTTCTTATTTAGTTTCAGAATAACTCCCCAAGACAAGCACTTTACATATAAAGAAGCTGTGGCCTGAAACGTTCATGAAACTCGTTCAAAGTTGTGCAGCTTAGATGTGATGGACAAGGACATGAATGCGTGCACTCTGGCTTCAGACTTCATACTTTTAAGTATATCTTTTTTTAAAGATTTTATTTATTTTTATTGGAAAGTCAGATATACAGAGAGGAGAGACAGAGAGGAAGATTTTCCATCTGCTGATTCATTCCCCAAGAGGCTGCAATGGCCAGTGTTGTGCCAATCCAAAGCCAGGAGCACAGAGCCTCTTTCCCAACGCTTTGGGCTATCCTGGACTGCTTTCCCGGGCCACAAGCAGGGAGCTGGAGGGGAAACAGGGCTGCCAGGATTATAATTGGTGCTCATATGGAATCCTGAAGTGTGCAAGGCAAAGGCTTTAGCTACTAGAATACTGTGCCAGACCCTCTTTGTAATCTTATATTGAAGTGTTACTAAGTTTCTTTGGGAACATCCTATTCCCTTTTTTTTTTTTTTTCAATTTTTTCTGTCACTAGGCTGAAATGTGCACATGTTGTGGAGCTGCTGCTTTACTGCCGTTAAAGGGTGCCTTGTGTGTTGAAGGGCTTTTCCTGAAGATGTGTCTTTGATTGTTGGTTTGGTAGGTTATTTTTGTTTTAGATTAATTTGGACACCATAGCATGGACTGCTCTGTCTTCCTTTTCTGTAATCAGTGGTAGTGATGACATCGTCCATGTTCAGTTAATTTTCTCAGAGAGAAAAATTTTCAGAAAAAGGGATATCTGTACTGACCATGTACAAACTTTTTTTCCTTGTCATCATTCCCTAAGCAATAAAGGATAACACCTTTTTAGGTAAAAATAACATTGTATTGAACATTGTACGTAATGTTGCGATGGAAATAAGATGTGCATTTAACATAGCAAAAGGTGCCACCTGGGACAGCTGCATCCCTTAAAGGAATACTGATTTGCGTCTCTTTGTTCTGTTTGAGATCTACATTTCTGCTAACGCAGATCCTGAGAGGCAACAGGTGAGGGAAACTCACTGATGATGGTCCCTGACACTCATGGAGGAGACACGAATTGATCTCAGGGTTAAGACTTCAATCTGACCCAGCTCTCACTCTTGTGGATTTTTGGAATGTGAACCCATGGAGAGAAGATTCTCTCTCTCTCTCTCTCTTTCCCTCTTTCCCTCTATCTCTTTATTCCCCTCTCTATCTGTAAGCCTGGTATTCTAATACAATTATTTTGGATTACAAGAAAAAAATAATAACTTACCGGAACAAATGTGTAGGCTTTATATAAACATCAGGCCATTTTATGGTCTTGAATATTAATGCTCACTGGGTATCTGCAAGAATTCTAGATTCATTTCCCTATAGATACTGACAGAAACTTCTACTTCCCTCTCCCTTTGCAGAGTATAGGGAAAGAGGGGAGAAGGCTCTTACCAGAGAATTGAAGGCAGAGTCAATTAAAGAACATCTCCTTAAATGAAGATATTGCTTCTGCCAGTTCTACCTAACAGGGCTTACAAGCTGACCTCATCAAGGTCAGGCTATAGCCTGACCTCATCAAGATACACAGAAATGCTGGATAGTGTCTTTCAGGTTGAGCATTCACTTTCCAGCAGTAATTCTGCAATGTGGAAAGGTACTGAAACCTTTGCAAACAGTTTTGTGGCCAATCTATTTAACATGCTATTGCTATTGTCTTAAAAATTGCATTCTCTATGAATATTATGATAGCTACATGAAAAAAATAATTATTATATGAACACACAATAATCTTATTTTAGATATAACAGAATGAGAACATACATTTTAAAATTTTATATAAATATTTATAATATGTTAATTCCTTATTCTGCTATAGAAACTTTCCTAAAGGAGGAATTATTGGGTGAAAAAGATATTTCCAAAACAGTGGGCTGTTTTTCTTTTTCTAATTCTTTGCATTGGAAAATAAAGCACCAAGAAGATGAGGAACTATCCAGACTTACACTCAGAGGATCTCTATAAAAATGTTAGGGAATATTAACCATGAGTATAGCTACTGAGTGACTTTTGTCTTCTATGTTCTTTATGCTTTCTACAATTTCTGCAGTGGTTGTATCATTTTTATTGTCAGTAAAATTTTAAAAACACCCCCAAAATTTCATGTGTTATTTCCATGATTTTTTAGAAGTAACTTTCTTCAGGAAATGTCACCTGAATGATGCAATTGCAATGAAGAGTATTTTTTGTATTTCAACTAAATAAAAATGAATATCAAGAAACCCATACAAAATCAACTCAACTTGAGAGTAGCATTCATCGGATTCCTACACTGCAAAATAATTAAATATGTGGGGTCTGGCACAATAGAGTAATGGTAAAAATCCTCGCCTTGCACAAGCTGGGATGCCATATGGTCACTGGTTCTAATCCCTGCTGCCCTACTTCCCATCCAGCTCCCTGCTTGTGGCCAGGGAAAGCAGTCGAGGACAGCCCAAAGCCTTGAGACCCTTCACCTGTGTGGGAGACCTGGAAGAAGCTCCTGGCTCCCAGCTTCAGATTGGCTCAGCTCCAGCTGTTGCAACCACTTGGAGAGTAAATCATCAGACAAATCATCTCTTCTTGTTTCTGTATATCTGACTTTCCAATAAAAGAAAATAAAATCTTAAAAAAAAAAAAGAATTTAGTGTGTGGACAAGAAAAAGGCAAGAAGCCCTACATCAGGGCATCAGGTTCTACTGAAGAGACTTCTTTGCCACTAATTAGCTTTTTCATCCTTAAAAGAATTATTTGACCTCAGTGGCAGTAAATCAAAGACTGTGACAGTATGAGCCTTTCAGGCTACAGATAAAATGTAAGGAGTTCATACGTGCAAAGGTTTTAGAGAAGTGTGGATAAAGGTTGAACTATCAATAAGTAGCAAGTATCACTACTAATATAATTATATTAGGTATTGAAATAGGTTGTATTACATTATTTAGTTAGTAGGTTTTCATTTATTTATTCATTTGAGAAGCAGAGAAACAGACATTTGGCAAGGATAGAAAAAAAAAAAGAATTTGGATGGCTAATTCCCTCCCCAAGTGCCCACAATGACCAGTATTGGGCCAGATCTGAAACTCAGAGCTGTGAACTTAATCTAGATCTATCATGTGAGTGGATAGTGCCCAACTACTTGAGCCATCATCACTGCCTCCAGGGTTTCACATAAGCAGGAAGCCAGAGTCAAGACCTGGAGGTGGGATTTGAACTCAAATACTCTGATACAGGACACACATGCCTTAATTACTAAGATACGCATCATCTGTTTGTTTATGTTCTTCTTTATCCCTACTGTAATATGTGCTCTTTGAAGTAGGACCAATAGCTACAACTATTTATAGTTTACAGCACTACATATCAAATCACTTTTCAAGAGTAAGCCTTCAATGAAATATAAACAGTAACTGTATGAATGGAATGATAAAGCCTTTAGCTCAGATGAACAGAAACACCTTGACTGTTGATAATCAGAAATCTGTTTCAGAAATGAATGTGACACTAGATTCTATAGTTAAAACTGTACAAGAGGAGAGATTATGCAAAAAAGGGTAGAGAAGGTAACATATTGCATTAAAAAATAGGACCATGACATCCCAACTCACCAAAAATAAATATGGAGCAGACGCAGTCCCTGATAGGCTTGCAGTGCCTGTACCCCCATGTGGGTGATGGCTCTCATCCAGGCTACTCTACTTTAGATCCAGTTTCCCAGTTACAGCTCGAGAAAGCAATAAAGGAAGGCTCAAGTCTTTGGGCTCATGCACCCATGTGAAAGACACAAAAGAATCTCCTGGCTCCTGGCTTCAAAACAAATTGTTTCAGCTCCTGCCATTGCAGCCAGTTGGATAGCAAGTATACCAGCAGATGGAAGATCCACTTCTGTGTCTCTCTCTCTGTAAATCTTTCAAATTAAAAAAATAATTTAAAAAAAGAACCAAATGCCAGAACATTCCACTAACCAAATGTAGGAGGAGCAAACTGATGAGTAACTATCACAATGCTTTTTTATTATATATATTAGCAACCGGATATTCTCTGACATTCAAAGATATTAAGCTGATTGTCCAGGACACAGCCAGAAATTTGCCAAATAGGATTCAACACAAATCTCTGTGATTCCACTAACTGTGACTTTTTCAGAAAAATATCAAACAACATCAAGTTGACACCAAGTTAAGTTAAAGCATACTACTCTGCTAGCCCTAAATCTGTTTTTTGTTTATTTATTATTCCCTTTTACAATTTGGTGTTTATTTTACTTAATTATGCTTTGCAAAATGGATTAAGTGTTTAAAATCTGTTATAAATAAATCTCTTTCTTGTATATAAACAGCACTGCTTTATTACTTCCCAGGGATTTCCCTGGGTCCAAGCCAAAAGCTCAGACAAAATTTCTGAGACTATGTGGTTTTCTTACTGAGCAACCCGACAAATAAGTAGTACTGGTGACTGCAAAGGGGAAAGGTATGGTTCCATGGTGCAGAGTGCTGGAAAAGTCACAACCCACAATCTGAAGGAAGAGGCACATTGCCAAACCCTTCTTATTTGCCTAGCTTTAACAAACAGTATCCTGAACCAATCTACACTTCAAATCTTCAGCTTGTCACTGCATAATGCATGGGTATTTAATTTTGACCCCCATCAAAAGATTTACAATGCATAATCTTTTAAGTACAGAGACTGTGATTATGTCAGAGGTTTCATTTAAAGCTTCACTGCTCTCTTTAGTAAGTCAAGTTTGCCAATGAGAAATTCACAAAAATGTATGTATTCTTATCCAACTCGGGATGATCCAATACATGTAAATAAAGAATGACATCTGATATAACAAATGTCTCCCCTGCTATGCTTGGTATTTGAATCTCAGAAGTGTCCAAAAAAAAAAAAACCTGCGTGAAATTACTTTCTAAAACAAAATTACACAAAAGTCCTGGTTCTCTAGGTCTAAATGTTTGGCTACTAAATTTTAAGGTAGCACAGTGTTTTAAAGGCTGATGGTTTGTCAATGCACACTGTGAGTTGATAGTATTTTGAAATATATGAGCAGAGCAGATCTGTAAGGATTTAGACTCCCCTGCAAGCAACTACAACTGAATAACAGAAGCAGAATTAGCAGTTCCTAAACTCACCTGCCTGCTCCGCTCTACAGATTGTCAAAGGTGAGGCAGTCATATTCTATAGTCTTGTAGAAGAAATTCCCCAAGCTTCCACTTACCATGTCAGTTTACAAATTATGTCTTTGAAAGACATGTCCACAGAAATGGTGAAGTTTCAGCTAGAATCCAAAATTTTACATAAAGTAGAGCAATGGTGATGACTTGCCGTATAATTGTAAACAATAGAACTCAAATAGATACAATTAATCTTGCATGGAGTATTTGTTTCTGTTTTGTGGATGTAAATGAGATGAACATAGGAAGATTCTTTATCATACAGAATTAAACAGAACTGTATAATATTTTTAAAATTCATACTTGTATTTTTTCCATGACTTCTTAAGAAAGAGAAACATCAGTATGGAGAATACCAATTCTCTGGAAATGGATCTCAGCATTAGGAGAATGTTGTACAAAATAATAGACAGCTCTGTCCAAAGACAGCAGGATTCTGCCTCGCCTGGCAAGAACATTTGTAACATTCATTTTAAGCCACATAGGTTCCACTGCCTTCTTTTCTTTCTTTCTTTTTTTTTTTTTTTTAACAGTAAAGACTGGTCAAACAAACCAACAAAAAAAATACATTTTCTTCCTGGAGAATATGAAAAAATGTCAAAAATGCAAGCACTTAAGTTACAACTTCCCCCAGGCAAATGTAACTTCATGCTGGGTTTATGCTACTATCATAAACACTACACCACAGGAAATCACTAACACTAACCGTGACCAAGCCATACACGCCTTTCCAGAATCTCAGGCATAATTGCCTTAATGAGCTCACACTTTATCTGAAAATTTTCACTGAAGAAAATTGTATTTCAAACAATGATCACAGATGTTTGATCAGATTATCAGGCATCATTTTATAAATTCAAGAGGTGAAAAATGTCAGGTAAATGATGTGTTCTTTCAAATGGATAACATTAAGAAAGTTGCATATTGCCTTTGCATTCTTGTCTTCATATTTTTCTCGAATATTGTAATGTCACGGAGTTCAGAAACATGAGATCAGTAATGCAACTTCAAGTGTTAAGAATGTTATTTTATGTACTCAAATTTAGGCATGGAAATGGACAATAGAAATGAGGAAAGATCAAGTAAGAAACAGTCCACACACACACCCCACCCAGCAGGGGAAAATTGCTTCCTAAAATAAACCTTCTAATATTTTAGTACTGTTGACTTTTGTATGTCCCTAGCGATCAAGCTTCTATCACTCACTTTTCCTGCAAGACTATTCTTGTAACCCAATATTTTCCTATGTCAGGAAGTGCCTTAAATTTCCCTTTCTCAGTTTAACCTACAATCCCAGTACTCCACAGGATATGAGGAGAATAATTAAGCAGTTGTAAATCATTCTAAATATTTCAAATGAATGTTATCCAAGTCATGGTAGCAAAAATTACCTTCTCCTTTATCATTTTAAAAACTTTTGTATTTTTCCCTCCATTACACATAATACAACAGTGATTTAATGGAGATGAAACTTCAAAACAGAAACTATGGCTATAACGTACTTTAAATTAATATGTAGTTTGAAAAACAATGTTGATCCATCCTTTTCCTTGACTGTTCTTATTTTTATACTCTGTAGTGTTTTAGTTTTATCCACTCATTTGGAACAAAGGATATTTCATAATTAGATGTTACATTTTAAGTAATTTTAGTATGTGATTTTTACCAATATATTAAACCTTTATTCCCAGAGACAAAGTATCCCGAGCAGAGTGACATTCAGACCTTATTCTTCTGTTTTAATTCTTTGGTTTCAATATTTAGAGTCAACATGTAAGTTAAATAACTGTCTTAGTCCACTCTGCAGTTTTTATAGATCATTTGAGACTGGATAAACCGTAATGGTCAGGAATTTGTTAGCTCCCAGTCCTGCAAGCTGTGAGTCTAAGATCAAGGCTATCTGACAAGGCTGGCAAAGGTGCTGAACTTCACTTTCGTAGGAAGTCACCTCCAAGGCAGAACTCTCTCACTAGGCCCCATCCTTCCACACTGACATACCAGGGAGTGAATTTCTGACAATGCTGAATGGGAAATATATTCAAACCATAGCAGAACTCCAACTGAAAGGGATATTCAACCTGAGTTCGACAAACTATGGGCAAATTTAGTAGCCCATATCCCTTTCAACTACTCAAACTGTGTCACGAATGCTTCCTCCTTATTTCCCATCCCAGGCTCTTTTGATTCCACTCCTTGGATAGAAAATAACTTTATTTATACATATTATGAAACTTCATAATTCTACATGTTCTTGTGCCTCAAATTATTCACAGTTGAATTTTATGTTATTCTAACATGTACACGCCAACACTGAAAGAAATAACATTTGGAAGATTCTCTCCCAAAGAGTGTCTTAATGTTATGTTTGTGTTTATATTTTTCCCAGACCAAAATTATCGTCTCAATTCACATGACTTCTATGGACTACATTACTGAGACTCTAATCCTTACAACACATTTAGTTTTTTGTGTCTTCTGTGGTCTTCAACATTTAGCTATTTTGCAGGCAGGCTATTTCCTTCCACTTTTGACTTCAACATAATGCATAACAATAGTAGCACCATGTATGACAAAAGTATAATCCCAGCTAAAAGAAAATTCTCTTCTTAAAAATCACTTGAGTTACAAAAGAAATACATTAAATGAAACATGACAAGTTATAGGGCAGAAAACACTAGACTTTGATGAGATCATATTTTGTTGTTTTATTCTATCCAAATCTTGTCAGTAGAACTGAAAAACACACTTGGAAATTGAGACTGCCTAGGTTTATAACTAATCCATTGGGTAAGACTTGTGCATTTGTCATAAGCAGCGTGGAAGGCAACTGAAAATCTATTTCATTTCTTTTTTTTTAGAAATGAAAAGTCACCAGGTTAATGCATTGCAAAAGTCTCAGGTTCTTTTTGGAATGGTCATTGAGGGTTTCACTGTTACATAAATAACCAACATTGAGTAGGCAGGAGATGGAACAGACTTTGTTTGGAAGGATAAATTATGTTCTTTTGTGCCATTACTGAACTTATGGCACGGCTACGTATCTTCCTCTATTTTTCTACTAAAAGAATAACCAATGCAAAGTAATACTAAGCACAAGCTAGGGCCCTAGTCTTTCAAGTTAATACAAGTAAATTATCCATTTAAAGCATTTTTATAATCTGAAATATAAAATCTTGTTACCAACATTGTCCTGGAAGTTCTGTTATTAAATTAGGTTATATCTATATAAAATGGCAACTTTTATTTTCTCTCTTCCTACTTGCTTCATTTAAATTTAATTTCTGAAGTACAAACAATTTGAAGCAAGCAGCAATAGGAGCTGTTGCGTTGTGACTCAAAGCTATAGTGGATCAGGATACCTTTACATTATTCCTCTTACCTTGGAAGAGCAGGGCTCTGTTCCATTACATAATTTCTCAGAACTCTAATAATGTTTCACAAGTTCTTTCATTTGATTCACATGATCTATTTTCAATAAACAGGGGTGTCCTCATGCTATTGAAAACCCTAGAATAAGTCTTCAAATAAATGATTTTCAAAGTGGAGTAATCACAAACAATATGTTCCTTTACAGATTTTAGGGTCTGGCACAGTAACCTAGTGGCTAAAGTCCTCTCCTTACACATGCCAAGATCTAGTATGAGCATCAGTTTGTGTCACAGCTGCTCCACTTCCTATCCAGTTCCCTGTTTGTGCCCTGGGAAAGCAGTAGAGGATGGCCCAAAGCTTTGGGACCCTAAACCCCTGTGGAAGACCTAGAAGAGACTCCTGACTTCGGATGGGCTCAGTTCTGGCCATTGGGGCCACTTGGGGAGTTAACCAGCATTTGCAAAATCTTTCTCTCTGTCTCTCCTTATCTCTGTAAGTCTGCCTTTCCAATAAACATATATAAAGCTTTAATATGGGTTTTATACTTAAAATCTTAAAATCATAAAAATTCTAGGTCTACCTCATAGAAGAAAACCAAGAGAATGGGTAATAGATATTTGAGAGTATATTGTGAGACTCTGAAATAGGAAACAATATCCTAGATTGTTCAAGTTGGAGAAATAACATATTAGGGAGAAAACACAATTAAATATTTTTTTTTTGCTTATTGGAATGAGTCAGAGACTATTTTTGATATATGGCTGTGAATTCATGTTTTATAAATAAGGTTCTTCCTATTGATTCTCTTAATTTTATTTCTCAAGCAACATACCAATGGTTAAAATTGATAGTCTCTCAGGGAAATTTGAGAATTTTGTAATCCTGGATTGATTTAGAGATTCAAAGGATAATAGTTTTATTTGGTTAATTTAGCCAAACAATCAATTCAAGAGAAAACAAAGGCTGCTGTAAATCTTTAAATTTAGTCAAACAAAATATTTCATGTTTAGATTAACACTAGGTGTAATTAACTAACTTCTGCTCATCTGTGTCGCATGTGCAGAAATATCTGCCATTTCTACTCATGAAAAATTCTGTTTTGCTACTTAAATCAATTTTCTCTTTTGTGAAACAGTGAGGATTTAAACACTGAGCTCAGTATAAGCACTTGGACTTTAAGAATTTATACTCTGCTTCCCTTTTTTAATTTCTTCATTTATTTTATCTGAGAGAGTAAGAGAAAGAACAGTTGCTCCTACCTCTAGCCCACTCCCTTTGAACCTCCCACACTTGAAGTCAAGAGCCAGGAACTCACTTCAGCTTTCACACATATGGGTGTCATGAATAAACTACCTGAGCCGTTGCCTGCTGCTGCCCAGGGTCAGAAGTAGCAAGAAGCTGGATTTGAGAGTAGAGCTGAAACTCCCTCCCTCTAACAGAGAATGTTGGCATCTCAACTGGTGCCTTAACTATTTGGCCAAATCCTCCACCAAATATATTTCACTTTTTCCGATCCAGGGAGATAAAAACAGTTATTTGCAAAATTAGGAGTCCTTTGGTCCTAGTATTTGAATACTTTATTTGCACATCCTTGGGATTCCTATTAATTGTTCTTTCTGAAACTGTCCAAAAAAAGTAAATGGCCAAAACTTAAATTTATTGTTAATGTTCTAAATCCCAACTCCAGAGAGTATGTCATGAAATCATTGCTATCTCATTATTTTCATCATTTGAATAAGGAAGGGAAAATGGGAGAAAAAAAGAATTCTCCACAGATTACTTGGTCAAGATTGGCAGATTGGATTTATTTTTCCTACGACTCGATCAACCAATGCAACCAAAAATTCTATTATTAACCTTTGTATGATAGAATTGATACTGAAACTATGGTAAAACAGCATTCCTAAAGAGGTTATAACTAGGAGTAAGCAGAACAGTAAAACAAGATGAACTACTACTGGTTTTATTTTATTTCATGTATTTGAAAGGTGTGGAGATAGAAGCAGAGACGGACATCTCCAATGTCTGCTAATTCTCCAAACTCCCACCGACAGCTGGGATTTGACCATGCTAAAGCCCTGAACCGAGACCTCAATCCAGGGTCCACCATGCAAGTGGAAGAGCTTTAAGTACTTCAGCCATCATCACTCCCTCCCTGGATGTGCATTAGCAGGAAGCTGTAACCAAGGGTGAAACCATGCAGGGGCATAGGTGTTCCAAGCAGGACTGCAACTGATGCATCAAATGCTATCCCTAGAAAAGTGGGGCTTTTCTGTTCCTGTTCTTTGTTTTGTAAAAATTAATGTATTTATATTTGAAAGAATTGCAAGGAGAAACAGGGACAGGAGTGTAGGGAGCCTGCAGCCCACACCCTAGCAGCTGAACTGCTGCTTCCTGCTGTGCTAGAAAAACAAGTTTCAGGAAGTCTGTGATTGGCCCAGGGGTGCGTGGATGGCACATGGACAGCGCGTGATCTGTGTGAGGATTGGCCTGCCCACTGCGTGCAGAGGTGACCTTTACGCTGATTGGCCGTGTTACCCAATATAAGGGAGCCACAGAGAGGGAGAGAGAGAGAGAGGGGGAGAGAGCGCGCCTCGCACGACAGCCCTTGTGTAATGCTAATGTCTCCTCAAGCATAGAATCCCCAAGGGCTTCATTCCCTGAGTGTATATATATCCTGCCATGACTTCCAAAGGAAGCTGAGACATAATTCCTTTGAAAAGATAAGAAATAACATGGAAGTTGTAGAAATCCAGATGTGTAGATCCTCGCGATGTGGCAGCTGCATGGTGGCTGCATGGCAGCCGCTGCGCACCAGTTTTGCTGTGTCATCTCTACAATAAAGGTTCCACAAAGACAACGAGTGTCTGGGTTTGACTTGCTGGCCAAGGGACCCCAACACAGGAGGAGACTTCACATCTGCTGATTCACTCCCCAAATGACTACAATTGCCAGAGCTGGGTCACTCTGAAGCTGGGAGGAGAGAGCTTCTTCCTGGTCTCCTGCATGAGTGTAGGAGCCCAAGCATTTAGGGGCTATCTTTTGCTCCTTTCCCAGGCACATTAGCAAGAAACGGGATCAAAGATGGAGTAGCAGGGACTCAAATCAGTATCCATCTGAGACACCAGCATGCAGGGGGAAAAAAGCTTATTGCGTTACAACACACCACCAGCCCCAACAATGCAGAAGTGTTGTTGGTCTGGCACTGTGATGCAACTTTTTAAGCTAATACCTGCACCACAGGCATCCTATATGTGCATCATTTTGGGTCCTAGCTGCTCCACTTCTGATGCAGCTCCTTCTGGTTCACCTAGAAAGGTAGCAAGAAGATGGCTCAAGCATTCTGGACCCCTCTATCTGCATGTGAGATCTGGAAGAAGCTCCTGGCTTACACCTGGCCTAATCCTGCCTGTTGGGGCCTTTTGGGAAAAGAACCAGTATACAGAATATTTCCTCTGTGTGTGTCTCTCTTTCTCTTGCCCTCTCTCTCTGTAACCTTGCCACTCAAATAAATATCTAACAAGATTCCCTCAATTAACTAATTAAGGAATTCCACATGTGTTTAATTGCCCTCTACACACTGAAATTCCCCAAGTGAGGTTGACTTCACAGGGTTTTGCATACATTCTAAAATTTTACATGCAGATTTCTTCTTTGCTGTTTGGTCTGCCTTATTTGGACTATTTTCTATAACGGATTTGATTAATGCCTTAATACGGATTTATTACAGCTTATGAGAATGCTTATTAATCATTGCTGTGGGATAATGTTTGAATTGCCCACAAATTCATGTGTTGAATACTAACCCCCATTGTAATGGAATTTGGATGGGAGATATCAACACCACAGATACAAAGGAAATAGTTTCCACTTTCTACATTCACCAGATTCTCAATTCAGCCCGCAGGAAGAAAAGCTGTTGTACACTCTTCCTTAGAAACATACAATACAAATAGTAATTGGACACATGTCTTCTGACACAGCCGCCTCAGAGCCCCACTCTTGAAACTTCTTCTTTTGCATGCTGGAGGCATCCCAAATTACAGCTCCATTCTATTACCGTGCAAAATCTTCAGACATTCATCTCTGATTATAGAAGTTGATATATGAGTTTTTAGGAGAAACTGGTTTCTAGAAAATGAGACTTTCTTGCCCTTCGTACAGTGTGTGGCTCCCCACAGATATCCTGGTGCATTATTTAGAGCTTCCAGCCTCTCTCTGCAGGTGATAGTGCTTAAACATATCCAGTGCAGATAAAGCCAGCTAGTAGAAGTCAGGATTCACAGTCTGACCACCTCTCTAGAGGAACCGGATCATGCCATCCACAAGAAAACCAAAACAGCTTCTGAAGCATTTCTGTTTGGTGTTTTTAAATTGGATTTTTACTTCCTGGATGATTTTGGAAAAAAAAAAACCTTTTTTTTTTCTGATCAGAGAAAATATTTAGGGAAGAATTCTTGATGCAATATAAACTATGTCACATAATGCAATTATTTTTGTATCACTTAGTGTACACACTTAAACATTCCTTATGTTCAGCTCAAGAAATATCCTTTAAAATGTCCTTATTTCCTGAGATATTTGAATACCAACTCCACAATGCATCAATTAGTTAATTGACCAATAAATATTGGTCAAGCATCTACCGATATCTTTAACAACTTCTGCTTTCGCAACCCTTAAATTATGGACAACAGCAAAATGGTAACTACAAATACAACCAATACTATAGAACTAACTTGAATACTTAAATGAAATATCTAGGTCTTGGGACTGATGCCATGGTGCAGCAGGCTAAGTCTCTCCCCATAATACCAGTATCTACATAGGTGCTGGTTTGGGCTCCAGTTGATCCATTTCAGATCCAGCTCCCTACTAATGTTTAATATTTAATTATTAACAAAAATAGTCTCGCTGTCCCAATTAGCAATGATTCCATTTCATGTACATTAAAAATAATGTGTTTAGAAAGCCAGATGTTTTATTGGTGGTACTCTGGTAGATCCTCAGGCTTTCCACAAATAATACTTACCTTTTGAAAGCTCTGTGTATTATTTAGGGATTTCCAGAGAAAACAGTACCTATAGGATGAGAAGGCAATTCCTATAGTTATGGAGAGCTCATAATACACACAGTTAGCAGCTAGCAACCTAAAGATCCACAGTGTTCTTGCATTATGAATCCACAGACCTCAGAACCAGGAAAATTGGTGACATGAGCTCCCAACAGAAAGCAGATCAACACAAGCCTCAAGATCAGTGGATGTTTCAGTGCCAGTCTAAAAGAAGAAATAAGGCTTAACCAGATGCCTGGACCGCTCATACCTCAGTCAAGCTAACAATACCATTAATTATTAAAAGTCCACATCTTTTCAACTTGGTACCCATACACATCTCCTATGACTTTAGTATCCTATAAAGCCAACAGCAAAGCTCTATGTATGCCCCATGTTACTATACTATGTACCACCAAGCACATTCCAAGAAAAGATAATAAAGTCCATGATTGTTATTCTTCCTGAGATCTCCCAATTGAAATACTACAATACAAAATAAAAATACCTATATACTGTGATAAAGACTCAATACATCTTATTTTACATATTAAGGGAATGTGAAAGGGAAGAATAAAACGATTGCTTCACACACACACGGACACAAACAACATATACACCAAATATACTCAAATCGAAAGTAAAGTAGAAATAACTCATGACAATTAGCTATAATTCCTGCAGCTGGTCAGATGACCATGTGTAATGTTTATAACTGCTTTCTTCCACTACCCCTTTTTATGCCTTTTGCCTTCAATGAGTAATGGCTCCTTACCTAGTGAGGTGACTCACATCTCCGTTCCTGAAGCATCAGGTCCATCAATAGCCCTGCTTGAATTAGACTGCTTTTGTTTTTCACTGGCTTTAATCACAGGAAATAGTAATGCTGAGAAATACCCTAAAACAACGGATCTATTTCCAGACAAAAATGTTCTAACTCATTTCCAGACAATTTCCAGTTCTAATTCATTTCCTTATTCATTTAATTCAGTTTCCATGGATGCATCATTTAAGCAAACATAACTCCCTTCTTGACTGTTGACTCAGAAGCATGAGGAGGGCAAAGGGCTACGTGTCAGTCTTCACTCTAAGTTCAATTGAAGCATTGTTCTACCTCCTGATGATGGCATCACTACATTTGGAACTAGTGCCTCCAGGTCTGAGGAGGTTAAGGTCATAGAAAAATGAAGAAAACATTTTCTGGTGGTCACTAGAGCAATACTGTGTGGTGACAGATGCATCTAACTTTTAATTCCTAAGTCTATGAATACTGTTGATGAAGAAAGTACTACTGTATATTACATGTTAATACAGGAGTTTGTTCACCAAGTTACAAGGTATTTCCATTCAGCAGGCACTGTAACTGAGTCTACAACAAGCCATTTTTCCACACTAATATGCCAGTTGCTTACTGGAGGACCTGATAAGAGTGGGAATTCCAGGAGTATGGGCTTATTACCACATCTGATTTACAAGTGCATTCTTAGACCAAAAGCAGCACAGGTGAACTAGTATGATATTGACAAAGCATTCTGTGACTGATTAGATGTTAACCTTGGTAGAAGCAGGGCATGTGGCAAAGGCAAATCTATAGATAGAGTTGGTGTTTATTTCCCTAAGAACAAAAACAAGCAGATGTTGAAGTTGCAGTTTAAGTTGCTACTTGTGATATCAACAATTCATATCAGAGTGCTTGTATCGTGTCCTTGCTATGCAGCTTCCTACACAGCTAATGTGCTTAGGAAGGGCCTATGTGCCTTTATCCCTTCAACCCGTGGGAAACCACAATGATGTTCCAGGCTCCTGACTTCAGCCTGGACCAGATCTAGCTATTGCAGATGTTTGCAGAAGATCTTTCATGCCAGGCCTTTCATTCTTTCTTTCAACCTTTCAGAGAGGTAAATAAAACTTTAAAAAGTATTGCTCCTTCAGTGATAATAGCAGTCCAATGCAATCAACCTATCACTCTGTATTTGTCTGATTACCCTGGGAAATGGAATCATACAGGTTCTGCTGCTGGCTGACTAGGCATTCAGCAGTGACTAGCAGCAAGGTTTTGTTTAGTTTTGTTTTTATTTTTCTTATTTAGCAGGGTCTACCACAGTTGGTGGTGCATGAAAGCATGAGTGTGGGTTGAATAGTGGGATCCATTGAGTTAAGTTTCAACACCATTGAAGTACACAAAAGCTGAATGGATATGGAACAGACTGATCCAGTCTGCTGCATTTACTGGCAAGCCCAGGGCCCAGGACTGGGACAGGGACTGGTGGAGGGTTATTGCAGGTTGTCCCAACTAGGCTGAAAGTTCCACTGGTGAACATGACTGCCAGGTGTGTGAACAGGTGAACAGGGTTGGGTTGTGACACAGCATGCACTGGTTTATATAAGTTACAGGACTGGAGACAGAACTGACCCAGCAGTTACAACTAGCAATGTGTGAGCATAGGCTGACATCAGTGACACTCTGAGCCAGATCTCATACCGGAAATCACACGCAAGAGTCAGGTCTGGGATTACCTTAAATATCTGTGGGGATATTTCCAATTGAACCACTGGACTCAGAACCCCAACCATGGGGAGAATCATACTACCTGTGGTCTAACTGTGGAGTGCATGTGTCAGAACTGGAGCTCTTCAGTGTCATAGAAGGAGCAGTGGATGGCATTTCCAGATGCATTTGGAGGCTATGGCAGTCCATTGGGGCCTACAGAGGGCATGTGGTATAATAGCAGAGGAAGGAGAGTAGAGTAAATTGCTGAACTACCCAGCCAAGCATTGACAGCAAATGTCCGGGCAAATGGAGACTCTAAGGTGGACTGTGTCAGCCAATAGACATTGGAGGGATTTCCTCATCCTTGGGTCAATGAAATTGACAGCATTTCAGAACAATCAAAGCCACTCCAGCAGAACCATCAGAGCAGATCCCTACATGGGGGACTCTGGGATAGTATCGGGCGGCTGTTCCCCATCACCAGTACTGGGGTGGTAGGGAGACTGTTTGTATCTTTTTCCCTTATCTTCCCCCATTCCTCCAGATTCAGGAGGAAAAGGGGGTAAGATTTGAAAATAATGGTCTCCGGCCCAGCGCGGTGACCTAGCAGCGAAAATCCTCGCCTTGAAAGCTCTGGGATCCCATATAGGCACCAGTTCTAATCTTGGCGGCCTCACTTCCCATCCAGCTCCCTGCTTGTAGCCTGGGAAAGCAGTCGAGGACGGCCCAAAGCCTTGGGATCCTGCACCCGCATGGGAGATCTGGAAGAGGTTCCTGGCTCCTGGCTTTGGATCAGCACAGCACCGGCTGTGATGGTCACTTGGGGAGTGAATCATGGGACAGAAGATCTTCCTCTCTGTCTCTCCTCCTCTCTGTATATCTGACTTTGCAATAAAACTTGAATAAATCTTAAACAAACTAACAAAAAAAATAATGGTCTCACTCTGGTCAACTAGGTGAACACACAAAAAAAAATAAACAAATGAAGGTTATGACTGCACTGAAAAACCTATGATTTATGCAGGGTGTGATGCAGCTATTACAATGGAAGTGGAAAGAAAACAACATCAAAATGAAAAGGACCTGTCTCAAGTGTTAGGATCTAATGGAAGCTGACTTGGTAGATTTGTGGCCCATTACACTTTTCTTCCTATAAGTTTCTCACTTTCAGAATGGGAACATCTCTGCTACTCCTGTTCTACTGCTGTATTTGGGAAATTTGCAACTGATCAGATTTCACAGTTTTATAGCTTGGGAGGAATTCTCCTCCAGAATAAATTATACCTTGCATCTCCTGTGTCCGACCTTGCCATGCCTGTGTTTGGTTCCTAGTTTCAGTCCTTACCCCAGTTTCCTCTTACTGTGGGCCAACCAAGGTAGTGGAATTGGTGCAAGTGATTGGATTTCTGCCACTCAAGTGGAAGACTTTGGACTGAATTGGGTTTCCAGCTACTGACCCTAATCCAGCTACAATCATCAGGTACTTGGGGTATGAATCAACAGATGGGAGCTTTCTCATTCTCACTCCCTCTCTTTCCTAAAACACGCTGTATGTATATCTGTTCTTGTGTACTCCTTTTTAAGTCTCTTTGATAAAATTTTTAATTAAAAAATAACACAACTCTACAATTAAATATTACAGCTGGGATAATCTAATGATTATTCATGATTGAAAATCGTTTCTAACTGGACTTTGAAAACCAGAAAGAAACTGGAAAGTCAAACCTGAAGGGCAGAAACTTCTGGGGAAGAAAAGTGGAATGAACAACACTCAAGGGACAGTAGAATCTCGGGGATCAAAAAGCACGTGAATGACCTCCCAGCACCCGCTGGGGAATGGCTGCTCTGTGGAAACGAACAGAGACTGCAGTCCTAGAACGTGTAAAAGCCAGGCTGTGGAATGACAGGAATTTTAATGGCTAAATATTTGAAAATAAAGCTTTACTAATATATTTCTAGCGGTTACTAGAAGTGCTGTTGCTGTGAAAATGGAATGTTAGAGGAAAAGATGTGAAAATCTTGAGGATTGGTTTAAAACAAGTTTGTAAACCAGATTGCGGAGTTGTAGTGTTACTGGACAGTTTCCCAAATAAGAATTTTTGAATAGTCAGTATATAAAACAATATGTGTGTTCTTCCCCTTTGTAATAAGACCTACTCCTTGTCTTCAAATTCCTATTTTCATGCACATTTGTGTATAGTGTATCTT